TCGGCGTGAGGCTTCCTACGTGTTATCTAAAAATTGAAAACCTTTTCAATTGCCATTTATCAGACCAGTTAAGGCAGATGAACATCTACTGCTTTCACTTAGTTCTTTAGTGATAGTATCATTTAAGACTTCCCTAAATTCGCAATCGGTAAAATGCTGTGAGACTAATGCTTTATTACCGGATAGAAAGGCTAAGTGGCTAATTGCGTTGTTCGAATCCCAATCCACAGATTCACATTCTTGCAGAGAATACCGATCACCTTGGTCAACGTTTCGCGTCAAGCATTACACAGTGGTTGGTGCTTTAATGTCTGACCACAAACTTCCAGCCTCCATCTTTGAATGTTTATGTATATGAAGCGACATTTGATGTCAGTATCACCACTGCTTGCCCACAAATATGCAATGTCCGTACCCCGTTCTATTGGTAAGCTGCATTAGGGATGGAAAGTGCACTGGCTGGGCACTGGACGAGGCCTTAAATCGCGGCCTTATCAAATGCTGACTTTCACGTTTAGTACAATTTATTAGCACCCACCACTCTTGAAGGTGCTCTACACCCAACCACTGCATCGCGTTGTCCTCCTCTCACATGCAACACTCCTTGCCTATTTGTCGACCAAACATTCCAGAGAAACTGACATCGTCTTTGCATGCGTAAGAACAATTTTTGGAGAACGCCTTCTGCTGGATGAAGAGTACCAAGCAACTGCGAATAACGCAGAAGTGCGCGCATTCTTTACTCATCGCAACAGCGATTGTTTGTGGTTGAGAGTATGAGTGTTTGGAATATTAAATATGCAGTGTGGTTAGTTAGTGCACAGGAAAATTGGCAAAGCTAATGGCAAATGAAGAAAGAGGGGTTTGTTTTCATGTGATCATCCTGCATTCCACCCATCCATTGAAGCGGCTGTTTACTTCTCCACCCTATCAGCATCACCATTGTCCCGAACACATTCGCCTATCCAGTGCCGATTTCTCATTTACGTAGTTGACTTGGTGAAAAATGAAACGTCTCACCTGCGAATTTTTCATGCAACTTTCGCATCACGACCGGTTGTCCAATATGAAGTCCTCATGTGGCAACGGAAAAGTCGGTTCTGTTGGTGACCGGCGATTATGTGCACAGTGGTGAGTGTGAAGACGATTCTTTGCAATTTTGTGCGAGATTGCTGCCGCATCTAGGAAGTTGTTGGCAAAATTAGGCGTTTTAGTAAGTTCTTTCCTCAATAGGTGAAGCCATATGCATTTTAGAGCTGATATAACGACGCGTGTTAGAAGCATCGACTAGTATCTTACCACCGATTGTGTCCAAAGCTGGGATTGTTTAACGGAAAAAGCGTTCAGCCAAATGATCAATTACTCAATGTGGAGTCAAAGCCAACTTTGAAGAACAAAACACAGTATCAATACCATTACTTGCATGTAGCCACACGAATTCAAGTGTAGAGAATACTAGGGAGATAGCTCTTTCCAATAGGTCTACTCAATCAAAAATACATGAGCATTGAGGCGGTGTCGATAAATGCAGTGGAATGCGCGCTTACCCAAAGATGTTGCAGAAGCTGGTGTTGAAGATTGCAACAAGTGGAATAGGCAATCCGTCCTGAGTAAATGTTGGCTAAACTGCATTCGCAAATATTGCAATGAATGACTGAGAAGTACTGTCACGAAATCACTCAAAATCTTTGTTTTGAGGTAGTTTTGTTTGCATTTAGCAATAGTGTGCAAAGCAATTCCATAAAGATGCAATTGTAGTGGTGACGCAATGCAGCTTGAAATCACGCCAAGATGCGTAAAGTGGATGAAACTGCATCCGACTGCAGATACACTTCCCTGCTTTACAGGCACCTTGTACTCACCTATTTCTCCCCTGAATTATAAAATAAAAATTGTGAAAATATTCCTTACTATTGACGCACAAATGCATGACTGCAAAAATAGATAGGAATATGAAGTGCCTCCGAGGTAGTTGCAAGTTGTGGTCAAGAAAACGAAACATGGAAGATAAGTTCACTAACGGTGGAAAGGGACTTACTCCACCATAGATTGTGCAAATGAAACGACATGTTTCATTTCAACTTACAATTACTTTGCGCCACTTCCGGTGATATTCCTAAAGTCGAAGTTACGTCACTTGATGCACGTCAGCAAATTTACCGCCTCCTCTTCGACCATAATAGCCCACTGTTACACGCAACTAGACGGCATCCGTAATGCTATACAATGTCATCATGGTGAAAGTAGGACAAGTTGAGATTTGTGGTGCAGGTTTGTGCAAAATTGCAAAGAATTGTCTTCGCACTCACCACTATGCGCATAATCGACGGCCACCGATAGAACCGATTTTTCCGTTGCCCACATAAGGACCTCATATTGGACAAACGGTCGTTTTGCGAAAGTTGCATGAAAAATCCGCGGGTCAGACCTTTCACTTTTCACCAAGTCAACTGTGTAAATGAGAAATCAGCACTGTGTAGCGGCTGTGCTCCAAACGACATCAAAATGACAACTGATTTGAATGGAGAATGCAAACTTAGTGCTTCAAATTGATGCAGTGGTTAAGTGTGGAGCAGTTTCAAGCTTGGCATGTGGGAGTGAATTCTACTGGTTCGCCTTAAATGCAAAGCAGCTGTACTGTCTGTCCTTTACGCTCGTTTGATTCATTCAAAGAGGTGTGTGCAACCATGCTTGTTTAATCTTGAAGTGGGTAATAGGCGATTGCTGAAGTAGAGCAACCAAGTGAGTGCAGTAGATTTAACTACGACGCTATCGCATTTATTGCTAGTCGTGGCCAAGAGGATCTACTGATTGTAGCAGGCGATGAGTCCGTATTGCGAGCTGCAATGAGGGGTTTATTCGCTGTCTCCGTGTAATGCGATGCACGTCCTTTTGGCTTGCTATCACCGAATGAAGGACCACACATGGCTGTACCACCGCATTCGTCCCAGCAAATGCCATCGCAGAGGAAGGTGAATTGAAGGGTGGTAACTGTCACCCGATTCACCACTTTGCACTAGGGTGGATCGTTGTAGTAAAGGTCCAACTGGTTAAAAAACAGTCACTCCTGCAACCTGCCGCTTAAAAGTTGCTGATTATGCTGTGTGCCTCGGAGTTGGCGCGATTTAAACAAAACTCTGTGTCTGCTTCTGTATTCAAACAATTGTTCGTTTTTGACACTGAACTCAATTACTCATCCAAGTCTGATCTGCTCAAGGAACGGTTGACTGTGCTGAAACACCTTCCTCTTAGTGGGACCGCTGTCAGTGCATTTGTGGAGAAGGTTCACTTTTTACTAACTGAAATGAGACCGTGGGATGTGAGGACTCAAGGAGCATTGTGGGAGCAAGGATGGGCTAGAGAAATATGGTGAGGTTGATAATAGTAAAGTAGCGACGCGTAGAGGAGTGAGGTGTTTGTGTAGAAGAGAGACGAAGCTTCGGAATCGAGTCAACAATATGCGTGCAATAATAGGAAAATTTATTATTAGAATAGCAGATGAACGTAGACGGAAAAATGTGATGAGTTAGGATTAGTGAAGGCATGGACGGGT